AGACAAAGTCTCACTCTGTCAGCAGGCTAGAGTGCAGTGACATGATCTCGACTCCCTGCAACTTCCGCTTCCTGGGTTCAAGCGATTCTCATGCCTCAGCCTGCCAAGTAGCTGGGACTACAGGGCAAACACACCCAGCTAACTTCTGTATTTTTAGTAGAAATGGGGTTTCTCCATATTGGCCAGGATGGTCTTGGTCTCCTGACCTCGTTATCCACCTGCCTCAGCCTCTGAAAGTGCTGGGATTACAGGCGTCAGCCACTGCACCTGTTCAAGACCTGTCTCTTAAAAAACAAATAAATAGCTGGGCGCAGTGGCTCACACCTGTAATCCCAGCACTTTGGGAGGCCAAGTCAGGTGGATTACGAGGTCAGGAGTTTGAGACAAGCCTGGCCGACATGATGAAACCCCATCTCTACTAAAAATACAAAAAATTAACCGGCATGGTGGTAGGTGCCTGTAATCCCAGCTACTCAGGAGGCTGAAGCAGGAGAATCGCTGGAACCCGGGAGGCGGAGGTTGCAGTGAGCTGAGATTGCGCCACTGCACTCAGTCTGGGCGACAAAGTGAGACTCCGTCTTAAAAAAAAAAAAAATAAATAAATAAATAAACTTGAGTTTCACTGTTAAATAGAATCTGTTTAAAGTATGATAATTAAATCATATTCTGGACCTAATTTCTTTTTTAACTTTATAGTTTTATCCCTTTCATTTGACTAATAATTATTTTTATGTGGTGTTTTTTTTTAAATCACATTCATGAAGTTCTCATGTTATAAGTGCAGTTATTAACTAAATCAATAAAATACCTGGCTACCACAGGCGGAACCCATTTAATGCCAGTATATAGTGTAAGTCAGAACCAGCTGGGTTCTGACTTAGGCTATATATATATACTGGCATTTTTGATATATCTAATTTATTTTCCTCATTTAAAAATACGTTTTGCAGCTGGGCCCTGTGGCTCCCATCTGTAGGCTCAGATAGATTGTGCCATTGCACTTCAGCCTGGGCAAATGGGAGTGAGACCTTGCCTCAAAAAAAAAAAAAAAAAAAAAAAAAAAAAGAGGCTGAGGCAGGTGGATCATTTGAGCTCAGGAGTTTGAGACCAGCCTGGGCAACATGGTAAAACCCCGTCTCTACAAAAAATACAAAAATTTGACAGGCATGGTAGCATGTGCCTATAGTCCCAGCTGCCTGTGAGGCTGAGGCAGGAGGATTGCTTGAGCCCAGTAGACAAAGGTTGAAGTGAGCAGAGATCATGCCACTGTACTCCAGCCTGGGCGACAGAGCGAGACCCTGTCTCAATAAAATAAAATAAAATAAATGTACTTTGCATCAAGAGAATTTAGGGAAATTCAATGTAAAAAAGTAATTGAGAGTTTACTGTGGGAAAAGGCATTTTTCTCAGGAATTTCCATCCAGCTTGGGAGTCATCTCATGATGTGAATGAAGTGTGAAAATACCTCTGATTCCCTGAGGTTGCAGAACACTGCACACTTTCTCTTATGGTCTACTGAAAATAATCAAGTGAAAGGATTTCCAGAAATAATTTATTACTGAAATGCTGAGTTTATGTGGTTCTTAGGAGAAGCTGTTTTTATGCTAAGCAATTTCGGTTCTGCAGAAAGGGCGTGTTGGTTAAATGTACATCATTGATTTTTTTTTTTTTAATGCTTTTTCATTAGGGGCGGCACATTGAATATATAGATATAGAACGACCTTCAACTGGAGGTCTTGGATTCAGTGTGGTGGCCCTCAGAAGTCAAAATCTGGGAAAAGTTGATATCTTTGTGAAGGATGTCCAACCAGGGGGCGTAGCAGACAGGTGAGGAAGCTGTTTATTTTCATTTGCTAATTGTTTCCTGATAATTCTGAAAACTATCATAAAGAGAGTGAAAAACTAGTAATAAAAACAGCAACAATAGCGGCTAACATTTGCTTTAGCTTTTGCTATGCATTCATCAGGCCTTTTGCGAATACTCTCCAACACCCTGTGGCAGCAGTTCCACTATATAGGTATCATCATCCTGTTTCATAGATGAGAAAGCTGAGATTCAGAGGTTCAGTGGTCAACCCATCGTCACAGAGCTGTTAACACTGGAGCCATGATGTGATTCCAAGACCATCTGACTGAAAGCTAGCGCTCTGTTATCCACTCTTACAATTAAACATGATATTTTAGCTATGGACTGATCAGTAGGATAGGAATATTGAAATTCTCATTCTGCCTATTATTTGTTTATTATTCTTAAGATTATAACAACATTTTGGTGATCATGTCACTCTACTGATTTATTATTATTATTGTCAATTAAGAGGCCCCTCAAGTTTATGTTATCTCCCATGTTGCATTTACTTTTATTTTTGAAGGGGTATTTGCAAGCCTTCTATTTTGTCTTTGTTTGATTTCCAGTCTTTGGTTTGTTATTCATTTAATAAGTATGCTATTCCAGTGTGCATGTTAGAATAACAGCAACAATGGCAGTATACTATTTTAAGATTCTTAGTAAAATAATATATTTTTGAATTCACATTCTCCATTCATGGGGGATTAATTCTGGTCTCCCCAACTCAGATTTCAAACATTGGGTTTCCATGACTTTTCGTCTTTTTTTTCTGCCATCTAAGGCAGTAATTCTTCAAGAATTGTGATGAGAATGGGTAAACTGGAAGAGGAAGAATATCAATAATGTTTGGGAGATAATAAAATCAAATACAGTAAACCAGGACAGAGTAAATCTTAGGCTATCTTTAGGATATACTTTAACATAATAAGTTAAAGGCTGTGCCCAGAATCTGACCCTTGATAAGATACTAGACTTGTCTAGGCTTCAATTCCATAATATGTAAAATTTACTAAGTACTTTAAAGGTGAAATAAGGATTATGTGAGATGCAAGTACAGCACTTAACATAGTACTTGACTCATAATAAGTGCTCAGTAAATACTATTTTTCTTTAGAGATTTTGCTAATTTCTTTTAAAAATAGTCCTTCCTACCCTTTTTAGCAGTTGGTGGATTGGTGCTTGGGAGAGATTAAAAGGGTTCAGATTGGCCAAGTTTAGCAGCTCATGGCTGTAATCCTAGGACTTTGGGAGTCCAAGACCAGCCTGGGCAACATGGCAAAACCCTGTCTCTACAAAAATTATAAAAGTTAGCTGGGCAAGGGAGTTCACACCTGTAGTCTCAGTTACTCCGGAGGCTGAGGTAGGATAATCACCTGAGTGTAGGAGGTTGAGGCTGCAGTGAGCTACGATTGTGCCATTGCACTTCAGCCAGGGCAAATGGGAGTGAGACCCTGCCTCAAAAAAAAAAAAAAAAAAAAAAAAGGCTCAGCTAGAAATTTGGAAGTAATCTTTATGAATTTTCAAGGAAGGTTTGACCTCTATTGACAAATAGAAGACAAGTAGACAGTGAAGAGGGGGTGAGAGGAGGTTATTGTTATAGTTGAGACTGTTGTTACCCCAGTGTGGTACGGGTAGAGATCAGGTTGGAGGGACTCGGGAGTATTGGGTTCATGCAGTAATGGAGGCAGTGTCCATACTTATGAAACCTTGACGAGGTCCTAAAGATTCTATAGATTGTTTTTCTTTCCTTTTCTTTTCTTCTTTCTTTTTTTTTTTTTTTGAAACAGAGTCTTGCTCTGTCACCCAGGCTACAGTGTAATGGTAGGATCCCGGCTCACCGCAACCTCCATCTCCCGGGTTAAAGCAATTCTTCTGCCTCAGCCTCCTGAGAAGCTGAGATCACAGGCGTGCGCCACAATGCCTGGTTAATTTTTGTATTTTTAGTGGAGATGGGGTTTCACCATGTTGGCCAGGCTGGTCTCAAACTTCTGACCTCATGATCCACCTGCCTCGGCCTCCCAAAGTGCTGGGATTACAGGCGTGAGCCACCACGCCCAGCCTGTTTTTGTTTATTTTTCTAGCCAGATGGCTTTTAAAATGTGTCCTTGTGTTTAAGGATGCATTACCAAATTCGGTGATTAGTTAATAACTTCTGTGAAACCACTCTGAAGGGCTCTGTTATATAATTAAATAATTATTTGATAAATGTACTAAGTGAAGTAGTACCATACGCAACAAACTGCTTAACCTGAATAATCGTTTTTTAAAACTCAGGCTATTAGATCACTTAAAACAAAAATTTCTTTTCTTATGTGATTAAGGGATCAAAGATTAAAGGAAAATGATCAAATATTGGCCATTAATCACACGCCATTGGATCAGAACATTTCCCATCAGCAAGCAATTGCATTATTACAACACCCCACTGGATCTTTGCAACTGATTGTGGCCAGGGAACCGGTCCACACAAAAAGCAGCACTTCTAGCAGCCTGACTGATACCACTCTGCCTGAAACAGTGAGTTGCAAATTTGAAAAAATACTTAATTTTGAATTATGCCATTGATTATAAGAAAAATAAAGACATTTAGAAGGTGTCGTTTTATTTTTTCCTTTTTTTTTGAGATGGAGTTTCACTCTTGTTGACCAGGCTGCAGTGCAGTGGCCAGTGGCATGATCTCAGCTCACTGCAACCTCTGCCTCCTGGATTCAAGCGATTCTCCTGCCTCAGCCTCTCGAGCTGTTGGGACTACAGGCACCTGCCACCACACTTGGCTAATTTTTTGTACTTTTAGTAGAGACGGGGTTTCACCGTGTTGGACAGGCTGGTCTTGAACTCCTGACCTCAAGTGATTTACCCACCTCGGCTTCCCAAAGTGCTGGAATTACAGGCGTGAGCCACTGCACCCAACCGGTTTTACTTTTCATAGTTCGAGAAAGATGATCATATCTTTGAATACAGCATTAGCATATTTAAAGAAGATATTTCATCAACGGTTTTTTTTTTTTTCAATGTCCTATGGGTCTCTTTGTTTAAAATTATTATTTAATACAGAGGCCAAATGGAAGTATTAGGTGTAATTTATTTAGTGATGGAGAGTCTTGTGTTCCTTGGTGATGTAGCCAATTAATTGAGAGTTTTTATTAGAGATTTACTGTTGAGTGTTCAAAGTAAGATTTGATTATTTATTTGAAAAACATTGTTTTTGAAAATTATAAGGGGATTTATGACTAGATTATTGATATTGTAAAATTATAGCAGGCTTTTTTTTCATGTAAAGACACATACTGAACAATTTAAAAGAATAAAAGTATATGTCTTTTTTGGGAACCCTTTTACTTTTTAACATTTTACGGATTTTGGCTTGCATCATCAGAATGAAAGCTAATAAATCTTATTTTCTTATAACACTAAGTGCTGGCTGATTTATTTAATTTTTATGCATTGGGACAAAAGAAAAAACAAGACTGTCTTGGTACAATACAAGGTCACAACAAAAATTAATGTATAGGCATTTTCCCTGTTGCAATCAGCAATATTTATACAGCAGAATTTACGTAATAAATACAGTGAATAAAGTGGGACACTGTTTAACGTATAAAGAACAAGTGCTTTGGAGTTGGGCTTGGATGCATTCAAGTCCATTTCTTCCATATCCTAGTGGTGTCACACCAGGCAGACTCCTTTACCTCATACTTTCGTTTCTTCATCTGTTTCTTGGAACTAATAACAATGTCTAGTTCTCAGAGATGCTGTGAGGCTTGAATGAGAAGTCATGTGAAGAACTAAGCACCATGCCTGGTGCTGAGTGTACATTCTTTGACTGTTAGTTGCTATCAGCTAATGTTAAGTCAGGCATATTATTTTAGCAAACATTATTGTTTCCCAGAATTTATTAAACAATCCCAATATTGCTTTTTATTTAAGACTGCATAGTAACTTTGCAATTTAGTGTAATAGAAAACCTGGCTGGGTATGGTGGTTCACACCTATAATCCCAGCACTTAGAGATTAGGTGAGTTGACTAGGCAGGTGGGTTGCTTGAAGCCAAGAGAATGAGACTAGCCTGGGGAACATAGTCAAATCCCGCCTCTACGGCCAGGCACAGTGGCTCATGCCTGTAATCCTAGCACTTTGCAAGGCTGAGGTGGGCGGATCACCTCAGAGCAGGAGTTTGAGACCAGCCTGGCCAACATGGTGAAACCCTGTCTCTACTAAAAATACAAAGGTTAGCTGAGCTCTCGGGAGGCTGAGGCAGTAGAATGGCTTGAACCCAGGAGGCGGTGGTTGCAGTGAGCTGAGATTGTGCTACTGCACTCCTGCTTGGGCAACAGAGCGAGACTGTGTCTCAAAAACAAACAAACAAACATAACAGCCCACCTGTACAAAAGATAAAAAATTAGCTGGGCCTGGTGATGCATACCTGTAGTTCCAGCTATTTGGGAGGCTGAGGCTGGAGGATGGATGGATCCCAAGAGTTTGAGGCTGACGTGAGCTCTGATCTTGCACTACACTCTAACCTGGGCAACTCAGTGAGGCCTTGTCTCAAGAAAGAAAGAGAGAAAGAGAAAGAGAGAGAGAGAGTAATGAGTATGCTGTAATGATCTTGAGAGGGAGGATATTGCTTTGCAGTTGGATTATTTGAAGTAATACACACTTGTCACAGAAACCTGCTAGCTAGAGGGGAAATGCCCACGTCTTTAGTCTGATTTATATAATCCTATTGCTGATATCTTCAGTGGGGCCTACCTTTCCTCTCCCTTGTAAGAGTCTCCTAAATTCGTCTCTCCACCTTGTGTCCTTCCACCATGATATTCTTCACATTGCTGCCAGATGAATTTTCTTAAATCCCTGCTTTGCTCCTGTCATTTCTCTTCTAAAACCTTTAAATATTTCCACTTAATTACCTAGTTAAATCCAAGCTTTTGACCCTATCTTTCATGCATTCTGTCAGCTGGCCTAGCTTTGTCCTTAAATTTTCTTTTTGCTTGAATGTCTTCCTTTGTAATGCAACTTAAATGCCCCTTTTCCTTGAAGTTTTCTATAGTTCTTAATTGGTTTTGACTTCATATGCTCCCCTCCCCACAAAAATATCTTTATAATATTTGTGATTCTCTCTCAAGCAGACACATATTTATTGGTCCCTACTATGTGCTGGGCACTGTGCTGGACATCAGGCATAGAGTGAGGAATGAGAAATGTCATCTGTGCTCTTAGGGCTATGGTGTCTTATGATCCAGTATCCTGCCTTGTACTTTAATTATTTGTGTTTTAGTTTCTCTCTAATGGATTATAAGATCCCTATGGGCAGGGACTGTATGATTATCTCTGTCTGTATAT